AAAAAAAAAAAAATTCCATTTTTTTTTATTTCCCATTTTTTACTTTTCATTTTAAAATCCTCGATGCTTCTATTTTTTCTCGCGGTTCGTGTGGTGGCTCATCGGCTTGTAGCCTTTGATGCTCCTCGCGGGTAGGGAGAAAAAAATGAAAGAAAACTTTTGAGAACAATTAAACAAAATTTTACAATATCATTCATTTTTCATCTATCATTCATATTAGTTTTTTCATTTTTTCGGCAAAAATAACTTTCTTCATTGTAATTATTTTTTTGTATTATTTATTATTTATTTATCTTTTTTTTTCTTTTTTTTGTTGAGAACTTTCTTCATTTGTGAAATATTTATTTGCATTATGTATTGTTCTTTTCCTTGCTGGATTAAATGGATTAAATTAAATGAGTTTTCTTAAAAATTTGTATATTATATATATCTTTGATTTGTGAGTTTTTTAAAGTTTTAATTTTTAAAATCAAGAAAAAGATGATGATCGTGATCAGTGATTTATTTCGGTAAGTTCCCTTTAGAAAATATTTATTTTTGATTTTTTTTTTTTTTAAAAAAAAGGAAGGATTATTAAATCCCTCTTATTCACCGCTTTAAGCTTTGTTTATTTTACTTTAAAAGCGGGGGAAACGGGGGGAAATAGCAAAATTATTATTCTATATCGAATCTAAATTCTTTTATTATTATATTTATTATTATGATTATTGTGGAATTTTGATTACAGTGTGAATGAACATCAAAGAATCTTAAATCTAATGTATTTTAACTATTTAAATAGGGTATAAAGAAATACAAGGACAGAGTATTATTGCTGAGAATAAAGAAAGTTGGGAAATGATTAGGGATCAAAAGTTTTCGTTCTCTTCCATTACACTTATTTTCTCCCCTACTTTAAAATTAGTAAAACACGAGGATTCATTTATTAACTTAATCGGCGTTTAATTTTTTTTTAAAAACTAAAATGCGTACAAATCAATTGTCGCATCTTGATTTATAATCTTACAATTTATTAGAATTAGATTATTTAGAAAATTTCTTTTTTTTTTTTTATTATTATTTGTGTACCTATACTTATTCTATTATTATTATTATATAGCCAATAATGGGGTATAAGCAAACTTTATTTTATCCAACCGCTATTATTTATTTATCCCATTATTATTATCTATTATTATTATCTAACCCATCATTATAACCCAAAATTATTATCTAAACCCATTATTTTATTATCTAACTCATTATTATTATCCAAACACATTATTTTTATTAAGCATTTATACCTAAAAAAAAAAAAAAACATTTTATATATAGTATATATGTATAGTTTAAGATAATCTTTATGTATAATATTCATTTTACTAAAAAAAAAAAAATTAAGTTTAAATTTTAATTTTAAAAATATATATATATATATATAATAATAATAATAAAGGTGTATATCAAAGGTGTATTATAGTGTAACTTTAATAACTGAGTTTGCCATTTTTCTTTTTTAAAAAAAATTTGCTAACATGCGTGAGCACGCATCAGTCGCATCACTGCATTATATTTTATTATAAAAAAAAAATTACAAAGATATAAAGTTCGATCTAGCTAAGGACACGGACACCACCGATTCTGATTCAGATGTGATTATGTGATTATGTGAAGCCGCACAGTATTTGAACTACTAATTAATATTTTAAATAAAAATAATAATAAATAATTTTTTTTTTTTTAATTTTAAACTGAAATACTGAAATAGAAAAATTAATATTATAAAATCTAAAATTTCGATAATTAACACTTACAAATATAATAAATAATACCCTTATCTGAATATCTGCTTATCATAAATAAAAAAAAATAAATTAAAAATTTCGTTTATAAATTTTACATTTTGAAACTTTCAGTAAAGAATTATAATATATTATAATATTATTAAAGTAATAAAAGAATCAAATGCTCTCTTTTACAAATATAAGAATAGTATAATAAATAATATCAATATCAATTGTAAAATAATTTCGGCCAAAATTACATGAAATTTAAAGTATGTAATGATTTGCTCCATTAACTCCAAATCCATATATAAAAAACATGTTCTTTTTTATATTATAAAATTAGAGAATGCCAAAAAAATGTCACCAGTGGTGATTATCATTTGTCCGATTTTTTTAAATTTATAAGATTTTAAAATATTAAATAATTAACTATACATATTAAACAGTTATCCTATATGTAAATTCACAAGAAGAGATTTGTCTAAGGTCATCAGAAAGGCTGTTTTTTCAGATAATTTTTGAGAAAAATGCAAAATTTTGAATTTTTAATTTTTTAACAAAAATTTCAAAATTTTGTCATGATTAATATCAAAATGAACTTTCCTCACGTGTATCGGAAATTAACGAGAAATCCAACTGCAGAGATCAGAATGAAATTAAAGCACGTGATAATGCTTTTTCTTCAGAGATGAATGCATCACTCAATACCGCAAATGTATCGTTCTTATACGTGTACGACATACTATCTTATACGACCTATATTTTGTGACATATACGTCGTATAAGAACATAGCACCTGATCGTATAAGAACGATACATTTGCCTCAATACCATCGCAAGTAAACTTGGTGAGATCGAAAAAAATTCTGGAACAGCATCATAATAACTTATGTGAGATTTCGTCTAAATTCATATCAATCAATACTTCTTATTAAAATTCTTCAAAATGATATGGCTCAAGTTATCAAAGATCCGATTTCCAACAAAGTGTGACCAATGATTCAGTTTCAACTTCAGTTCTTCTCGATCATCTTTTGGTTCTTCTTCTGGTTCTGGTAAGAAATAATTTTTGATAATTGTACTATGCATATTAGGGACTTTCAACTAACATTTTTTTATTGCAGGCTCGAGCAAAAATTCGCAAATATCATTTCTGTAACCCGGGAACAGTTTTCGGATATCTTTGATAGGGTTAAGGGTTCGAATGATTATTCTTTAGATCAGATGTGTGCTGTTGTATCGGTTGATATTCTTAGACTTGGGATGAGAAAGATACAATAAAGGGTTTTTATCATGGAGAAAGTATAAAAAGCGGAAACTTAGAATAGGTGCTTGGATATATAAATATCATATATACCACTGAAGGAACTGCCACTATATGGATTAGGGCTCGGAGCAGGCGTGTCTTTCATGCCTTTCCTCCCTTAAAACAACTTGCTACTCATCATTTTTTACTTTTATTTATTTTTACTATAAAAATTTTACTGTATTTCGAATTTTTTAAAACGTGTGTTACATTTATTTATTTATTTCAATAAATTTACTAAATATATCTAAATATATATACCAATACTATTTAATGCACTACAAATTTATCTATTAAAAGTTATTAAAGCAAAAAAAAAAAAAATTAATAACAAATAACGAAATAAATATTAATAAATGGTGTATTTCTCTCACGGCTATTATTAATTAAAAGCACAGTTAATTCTATGTAAAATAGTATAAATTAATTAGTAGTAATCATTAATTAAATATAAACAATAAAGATAAAATACAAACCTTAAAAACATCTAGTAGCATTAGGTATCCGGATAATACAACCGGGAAAGATTACGTTCGGATTTGTAATACAAGGATTTGCTCTTTTCAAAACTAGCAAGGTCACCTTAAGTTTATTCGCGATTTTTTCAAGGGTATCACCACTCTCAACAACATAAACCGGAGTACATGTCTTAATTGCACATGAAGCAACAGCAATAAGGGCGAAAAGGACGGTTAAGAGGAGCAAAGATTGATTGAGTCTCATTTTGACTTTTTGTTAATTTTTATTTTGTTTTTTAGAGGAATTTTTCTCCATTTTTTTCAAACTGTGTGGGATAAGAGCGTATTTATACATATAAAAATCCCTAATGCTTAGCCTGTTTCGATGTCATGGCACGTCATTACAATAATGGCTTGCGCGTCAGAAATCTGTGCCAGGTTCGTGGCGCATATTCAAAAATACACGTACCCATTATTTTTAAATCCAATTTGCTGTGCCACAAACCAGGCTATAATGCTTAGCTAATAAGCCTGTTTCGATGTCATGGCACGTCATTACAATAATGGCTTGCGGCCTTGCGCATCAGAATTTGTGGCGCATATTCAAAAATACACGTACCATGTTATTTTTAAATCCACATTTTTTGCAAATTTGCTGTGCCACAAAACTGAGCATTGAATAGACGAAAACCATCTGACCTATATTGCCATCCAATATATGTCGAACCCGATATCCTCACAAGAGAAAGTCGGTATAGAGGCAATGCGATAAGCCTGTTTATATTTCAAAAAGAATTCTCTAATTCTCTAATCATAAAAATAAATTAAAAAAAAATAAAATTCTCCAGTTCCTCCTACCAAAATCCCAATGATTTGAATTTGCGTGTCAGCCAAATTAATTACTTTGCAGAAATTTCGTGACTGTCGGACACGATATCGTATTATCGTAACACTATCGCCATTATAAGTTTAGTAAAAAAAATTTCGTCAAGCAGCAACCGCCGCACGTGAAATCACGTGATAAACTCAGACACGAAATAAGAGTATTTATAATATATAACTCATCTACATTATTACATCAAGTATTCCTTTTAGTTATTTTTAACACGCAATACAACATGTCAAACACCACCCACTTTATTACTTTTAAATAGGTAAAGATCAATTTTTATTGTATATGAGATATGAAATTACTTTGATATTTTGTTGTTAGATGACGTAAAGTATGTGAGACCATCACCTGAAATATTAGATATTCGGTACCGAATGAATAGGGCTTGTGCGACGTAAGATTTGCAAAAAATTAATGTTGAGCTTAAGGCTGCAAACGAATTAATAAAAAATTTAATATCTGTATCACATGATAAAACCATTAACTAGTTAACGATCGAAGTTTATATTTTCTAGCTGATCTTCCATGCCCCTTTATCAGTAGCGTAGTTTTACTGTTAGAGTAGTTCTGCCCGTATAAACTTACTCTCCTTTGTTTCAGCTAATATGACTTCAGTAAAGATAGCTTATTTTGACATAATTTAATATAAATGGAAAACGAGATTTAACTAAAGAACGATTATCACTAAAATTTGGAGGGTGAGGTCTTGTTTATGGGATTTATAACCACAGCACCCTTAATAGTATAGTATTTCACTAGGAATAGTCGTTTACTTCTATTATGTACTTGTCATTGGTTACTCTTCTCTGAAATAAAATAAAATAAATAAATAAATCTAGCTGATCTTCCATACAACTCGTGGTATTGACACGTAAATTTATTAGTAAAATAAAGCCTTTTAATGCAATAATACTATCACTATAGGTGTATTTCTTGCATACAAACTTTTTTTTGTGCAAAATAATATCTAATAAAATGGCTATTGATAGACTACCCGAAAGTCTTGTCAAGAGAGCATGTAAGAGACTGTTCCATTAGAATCTATTTCCGAAAAATCTGAACAAATTAAATCTTATTTGAGACACACATTAGAGGTTTATGAGAATTCATTAAATAGAAAATACAAAAATATGGCTCAGGAAAAATTACTGCATCCTCGAATCTGACCAGAATGTAATGTATTTGGCCATATACATTGCAAATAGCAAAGTTTAAACTGATAATATCACCTGTGATCATGAAGAAGAGAATAATTGCCAGGTTATGAACAAACTTAAAGTTTTATCTCAACACCTGCTTGATTATAATAAACGAACTTTTGAAAATTTCATGCAAGATATAAAAAGGGAATATAGAGAGTGGGTTAATGCAAATAAAAGATTACAATATGAAGTTGAGAAACTGAAGTTGCAGATGCAGGAGGTGGAAAAAAAGCTGGCATTTATAAAGTCAGATTCTCACTAAAAAGTGGCATATTCCAATTAACACGTATTCTATGTGGATACTTGCAGGGTATAGTTAATCAAAAACAATAAATTTGTATTTACATAAATGTTTATCAATATTTTAATTACACTACACCAATTATTAGCATATTGACACACAATTCTGACTAGTTCATCTGTAGTGCATGACCCATTAAAAGACATATGTAAGATTTTTTTGTATTATTTTAGGCAGTCAAAGTAACTCTGTAATATATATATATGTTAAACTGATATTATAATAGCATTCTTTAATAAAAATAAGGAATAATTTTTTCTTGCACTTTCTTTGAATAAGCATATATATCTTTAAATATAGCTACTATATCCTTATCTGAAGAAAATAAATTTATCTTAGGAATTTTATCAGACTTTAAAGTTCAAAATGAAATATTTTTACAATATAGCTTTAGGCTATTGGCAATTATTTGGTAGGATATAAATATTTTAACTTCTTAAATTGGTGGCTAATCAATAGCAAATTATCATTCTTGATATAATGTATTCCTTTTTTCTTCTCATTAAATATTTGATAAAGCTTATTTTTAAATATGAAATTATTCAAATTAAGAATTTCATTAGTTTTTCTGAATTGGTATAACTAATAAAAGGTTATTAAAAAATACTGGAATTGGTATTGTATTTTGAATATTTTTAATCTTATTAATATAGTATAAAAGTCTTCTAACTGGCTCAAGTTTTTTATTTTCATTTAGAATAATTATTACTAATAATATACTAAAATAATCTTGAAGGATAGGTTTTACTTTATCTAAAAATCCTTTCTTGATTAGTATATGCCTAATGGATAGATATAAATGCATTGTATATAGTACTTCAATAAGATATATATATGCTTTATTCTTTACAAATAATATTTTACTTCTTCAATCTAATTATGCATCTTTTACATTTTTAAATTTTCATTTTTCTGTTAATATAAACTATTATAATAATAGTGTTAAGAATCCTGAAATTCAAATGCAAGATATAATTTCTTATTAATAGTATTCTCTTCTATTTTATTGAAAATTCTATTATTATAATACTTCTATTTAAATTGTAATATTGTACTTTTGTATTGTAGTATCATAAATAAGGAATTAATTTTAAGTTAAATAATAGAGTAATTCAGAATTATAAGGATTGTTTATAATTTATATAATATCAATAGTCTGAAGTAAATTGGATCAGAAGTAAAGATCATCATAATAATAATTGTTATAATGAATTATTATTATTTACATTGATTAAAGGATCAATATAAAAATTATTATATAAACCCCAACTTTTTAACTTAGTTTAAGGAGTTCTTTTTAGTTCTTTTTAAATTCCTTTCCTTTGAACAATTCTTTTAGTCCTTTTACTTTTAATCTTTAATTATTATAATTATTTTATAATGTTTTTATAAATTTTATAATTATACTATTTTATTATATTTAATAAATAACTGTGTTATAATGACATATTTTTATATAATAAAGAATAAACTTTTTATTAAATTATAAATTTTATCACTATATGAAAAAAATAAAAACCTTGTGGTGATAGAATGGCAGAAGCTGTTGTTACAAATGATGCATACTTTGAGAATCACCTTCTATTATTTATATATAATAGAAAAACTTGTTGAATAATACTTAATAATAGCCTTTTACTATTGGCATATAGTAGTAAATATCCTTTTGAAAAGAATGGAAATTTGTTAGAATCAAGGAATAAACTCAAATAGCAGTTCTAGGAATTATTTAACAATAGAAAGAAAAAGAAGAAAAGAATTCATTCCAACTCTTTACAGAGTATTACCTGGATTTAAATTTTTAGATATGTTTTTATACATATGTAAACGACTAGAAATCTAAGCAACTGCAAATAAAGTATTATATTTAACAAGACCTTTGTATCATATAGTTAAGTATTATTACCTAATTTAATAATTTAGATTTTATTCTTGCAGGTATAACTCTTTAGATAGGAACTGGAATAACTGGACTCTAGCGAGAGTATAACTTCTCTTTACTGAAAGCATTTTGGAGATACAGTCAACTCTCTTTATAGTCACACATTTGGAACAGTCCATATTTGGTAATTATGAGCAAACAGTCTTATGACTTTATCTTTTATTATGATTTTAAACAAAAAGTACAATAGTCAAATCGAACAATATTACAAACAAAAATACATAAAAATAAACATAAAAAATAAAAAGAACTAGCTTCACGATTCATACAAGTAAAGAAATCTAAACAAAATAAAATTAAGTAAAGAAAAACTAAACTATTACAGAATACGCATACCCCAACTTTACCCGAAGGCCAGTGTGAGTCAACTATCCAGTATGCCTTAAGATCCAATCCGTTACCCAAAAGAAATCCTAAGTAGAGGCTGAACTGTTAAGCGGCGCCAAAAATCCAAGTGCGAGATCCAAGATCCACCACGGATTACATAAGAGGAAACCCAAGAAACCCAGGAATCCAAGGAAACTGTTGCCAGGGAAGGAGTCGAAGAATCAGGAGAATTTATAGAGGAGAGATGAGAAATAGGAGGAGGCCCAATGGCAAACGATTTCATTTTATTAGTAATGCCTTGAGCTGATTCCCAATGATGAAAGAAAACGGAACGGCACAACCAGATTTGAACATAAAGGTCAAAATGAAAGTTGTGCAAAGGTGTATCTAAGATAGACCAAATAGTGGATGGTGAAAAATAGGTTCTAAGAAAACCTGTAAGGGACATCGGTATAAGTCCACGTGCGAGTCGCAGGCAGGAAATCGAAGGAGGATCACATTTCCAACAGTCAATGGCCGTAAAGTCATCAACAAAAGAATCCAGTAAAGATATTAAAGGAGTCGCAGAAAGAAGGTTATCAAGATAATTAGTCCGAAGATCCAGTAGAAGTGTTTTGAAAGTATTAAGGGGACTAAATTCAGGTAAAATA